CCTGATCCTTCAGCCCGGGGAGAGCAGGACTGGGAGAAGGTTTTGACTTCAAAGAACAGGGAAGATACGGAGACCATGAAGAAATTGACTCCAAAACATGAGGCTAAAGGTGAGAGTTGCTGAGGGTGTGGAGAGGTGAAGGGGGGGATCAAGGCTCCAGGTTCAGGTGAGAATGCTTCAGAGGCCACAGCTGAGTGAAGTGGCTGCTTCCTTCCATCCCAGGGCTCAGAAGAGCTACTCTGGGAGCGTTCTGGGAGGTCTCCTTTCTCACAGCTTCTCTTTCTCCCTTAGGTGTGTCTTCTAAGGATACTGACTGGCTCCAAGAGAAGAGAAGGCCCACAATACTGGTGAGTTGGAATTGCCTTATTTTTCTGAAATGCTGGCTCCTATGGAAGAAAATAGGTCTGTGTTCCCTGTCTTGGGAAGGGAGAAGGCCATCAACATTGAGGCCTTTCATGTCTTCATGTCAGGTACCCTGTTAGGCATTTTAGAATGCTTTCTCCATTTTTGTATTTGATTTTTCTTGTTGAAAAATGTACCCAAGATTAATACTAAGAATCCAGGAAACACTAAGACATAAGAAATATTTTTATGAAACTGAGATTATTAAAATTTTAAAATGTAGTATGAAATTTTTCTACATATCCACAGATATACTCTCTAATGATAGCATCTTGTATACTGGGCACGTTTTTACTTTTTAATTACTGAGCTTGTTAAACATACAGAAATGGAGAACATAGTAAAAACAGATTCTGAGATACCATCCTGTAGCTTCAATGCTCATCTCTAATGACCAGTCTTGTTTACGGGAATATGATAGTGTGTTGGTCAATCGCAAAGTGTAAAATATCAAAATATCTGCTTTTCCTCTTCTCTGTTCATTCTGATATGAGCTGCCCACACAGCACTTCCTTCTCTGACCCTGCCACCTGGAGCTAGGTCGGTCTCACAAGTTAAAAGGATACTGTTCTTCACACTGCCAGATAGGCAGATTCTAGCCACAAGCTTGAGATTCCACATGACACCTTCCGTTGTGACGTGTTGGCTACAAATTCAGGTTTTCCTCTGCCCGTTCAAGATGCCAGCTGCAAGCTTGGGAGTCCCCCGTAGGGCTCCCTCACTTCTGAACTGTTGGCTCCCACTTCTCTTTGGGTTTGATAATTCACTGGAATGCCTCAGAGAACTCACAAAAATGGCTGTATTTATGATTACAGCTTTGTTATAGCCAAAAAGGATATAAATAAAGAGATACATAAGGCGAGCTCTGGGAAGGTTCCCAGTGCAGAGCTTCCATGTCCCAAAAAGGGATGTGCCGCCATCCCACGTGCATGGATGTCTCTCACCAACCAGGAAGCCCGTGCACCTTCTGTGTCCAGAGCTTTTGTTGACCCGTTACGTAGTTGTGATAGATTGCGTCAGCCTTCCTCTCTCCCCTGAGGTCAGCTGGACTTTGAAAGAAGTGATGTGATTCATTATACTGATCTTTATGTGCATCTTTGTTTATGAAGTGATCTGTGAACTCAAGAGCTAGCAGAAAAGTTTGTACTTCATGCAGTTACAGTTAATGTACCACAGCAACTGAAATTTAAACCATTTTAGGGGGGACTAGGGATGTTTTTAACCCTATAGGGTCGCTATGAGTCAGAATCGACTTGACAGCAATGGTTTGGGTTTTTGTAATGATCATTTAACTAAACCGTGGTAACTGAAATCCATGCACACTGGAACTGTACAAGGTGAGGAGTTCCAGTATTTAACGTGGGTGAATTATAAAGCAAATGGATTGCAAATTATACCTCAGTAACGTGTTTGTAGGAGCCCTGGTGGTGCAGTGATTAAGTGCTCGGCTGCTAACCAAAAGATGTGAAGCCAGTAGTCCCTTCAGGAAAGAAAGATGTGGTGGTAGCCTGCTTTCCTAAAGTTCACAGATTTGGAAACCCTATGGGGACTTGGACTCTGTCCTGTAGAGTCGCTGTGACTCAATGACAGCGGGTTAAAGTGTTTGTTTTTGTTTTTAAAGGTTAAATTATCTGCAGATGTCCTTTTTCTGGACTGTTACTGCCGTTCTCTTGCCAACTGTTTTGCATAGATGAGCTACTACTCTACATGATGAGTGAAATGTTAAGGACTTTATTAGAAAAGGTTATTAAAATACATACACAAAGATGGTGATTTCACAGATCCCATTTAGTTCCTGAACTCTGCAGAAATGCTCCCTCCAGGCCCCATCTGTTCACTCCCACTACTCTCTGTAGGTGAAGTTTCCATCCATCTTCTCCTTTAAATCTTCACCGTCCCTTAATGCCTAGCACAAGCCCCACCTCCATGATGCCTTTTGTTCTTTTCTAGCCCATCCTGTACTCTCCTATCTTTGAATTTCTCCGTTATGAATTCTGAAAGTCACCTTCTTGAATACTGCTTAATGCTTTCAAGTTGAGTCACAAATCATTCCTCCAATGAAGTCATATGTGTTTGAGGGCTAGAATGGGTTTTGAGCATCACTTGTGCTCCCCACAGATTTTATCACAAGGCCAGGTATTCAGTCGTGTCCAGGAAAACTTGACGTGGGGAACTGTGTTCTCTGAAAAGACTTAGATGAACTTCTTCAGATCCAGACTCTTCAGAGCCACCAGTTAAATTCCTCTTTGGGAAAATTGATGGTGGTTTGCTGTACATTGATTTATTGCTTATTCTAGGAACCAGTTACATTCGAGGATGTCACTGTGGTCTTCACGGAGGCAGAATGGAAGAGACTGAGCTCTGAGCAGAAGCACCTATACAAAGAAGTGATGCTGGAGATTTACAGGAATCTGCTCTCGTTGGGTGAGGATGTGCTCTTTTCTTTTCCTTCATTAATCCAGTAGGTGTGTATTGGGCAGCTATTTTGTGCCAAAGGAGCCGTGGTGGCGCAGTGGTTAAGCACTTGTCCACTAAATGAAGGGTCGGCAGTTCAAACCGACCAGATGCTCCACGCGAGAAAGATGTGGCAGTCTGCTTCCATACAGATTTACAGCCTTGGAAACCCTGTGGGGCAGCTCTAGTCTGTCCTATATTGTTGCTATGAGTGACGATCGACTCGACGGCAAACGGTTTTTTGGTGTACTATGTGCCAAAGGTTCCTGGGTGGTGCAAATAGTCTGCACCTGACTATTAACCTATAGGTTAATTAACCTATTAACTTTCAGCAGCACCGCAGAAGAAAGGCCTGGCAGTTTTCTTTCATACAGATTACAACCAGTAAAACCCCATGGACCAAATAAAATAAATGCTATGTGCCAGATAATGTTCTAGACAGTCAGAACACATTAGTAAATGTAATAGTTGGAA